CAGGAATGCTCGTAATTCACCACGGAAAGGACCTTAATATTAAAGGGCTAAGGACTGCTGTTAAAAAGTAGCACCACTCAGAACAACTCAGAAAGAGTTTGTTCATTTTATTTCTTTCCTTTTTAAAGGGTTATTTCCTCACAGGAGGAGGACTGGGGAAGGGGAGAGCGAGAGAAAGGAGGGTGCAGGTCCATGTCCTGTTACCTTGCCGTACTCCTCCCAGGAGTTGCTCCAGGTCCAGTAGTGAGCCTTGTAAAGCCCGACTCTCACTGCCATCATCTCGTTGCCACGGTAATAGAATATGGGCCTGAAAAGGATGCAGAGGGGAGAGCTCAGCCGCGTGAGAACCACGAACGCGCTGGGCCCAGGCAGCCGCCACGGCAGCCTCGCTGATAAGGGAGACAAACACTTTAATGGCGTCTGACTTCCGATTCAGCTATCAGTCAGAAACAGGCTGCCTTCTAATAGTCTCCACTGCAAGGTTTTCAATTAACATTTTTTAAAGTGTTCATCAAGTTGAGAGCTCACATTGCACGAGAATGAAACATTATACAGCTTGGCTGCCAGTGATTGTTAATCCCTGAACTATCAGACCCTGTTATTTCCTATAGAGCGTGCCGATTTAAACACCAAATGTCTCAGAAGTGGCGCGCGTGCGTGTGTCAGCGAGAGAGAGAAAAACGGAGATTCACAGAATCCGTGATGCTCAGCCTCCCCTTCCGGCGGAGGGCAGCCAGGCAGCACCAAGCTATGTGCTGCTGCTGTCAGACACGCAGGATGGCCAAGGAGGACACCAGAGGATGGCCTGTTCTGGATGCCATCACAGAAAAACTCTATACAAAAAAGCCTGGCTGCCAAATAAGCTTTATTTTTAACTCCTATCAATTTCCTTTCTCTAAAACCTCCCCTTACGTCATCCACAGATATCACTGAAAACTGCTGTTTTTTCCCCTAAGTTCTCTTAATTAAAGATACATTTGAAAAATGAACTCCATTCAGAGAAGCTGGCAGTTTATACCCTTGTACATATACTACCCTTCCGATGGGCATCTCAGCAACGGTCCTGTTTGGTTTCCCTGATAATGCGCTCTCATTTCTTGAGGAAATAGTACACAATTTTACTGAAATGGACTGTCTGCAGGAGAGAGGACTGATTGTCAGCAGAGCTCATCATGCCAGAACATCAGACTTAGTCAGCTCTTTCCAGTTGTTTCAGGCTGCTGACAGGATGAGATAGCAAAGTTGTTTATCGCTATTTGTAAGGGTATATATCTTGGTCTTCAATTCAAAGATGCTACTAGGCAGAAACTGCTTGCTCCTATGATGCCACCTTGAATAGCAGTCCCTAAACGTACGATAAGATTAAAATCACCGTGATTGAACGACAAGCGTGGCCCAAGACCTCTTCTATTTTGAGTAAAATTGTAGCCTCCTTTACAGGCTCCTTGCACTACGAGTCTTTGTGTCCTTTGTCATCAGGAACTGCTTCCGAACAAAGGGGAAAGGCTGCTCCCAGCAGGGCCCAGTCCTGCATCCTTAACACACCTGAAATGCCTGTGAAATCTAGGTCGCTTGAGAGATCTGTCAAAATGCAGAACGTGATCTAAACCAGTCACATTAACAAAATTAAAAGCCCAAAGAAACACGCCACACCCAGAAACACTGCTTTTTTTCTTTGCCATAAATGCTCGTTATTTGACAAGCTATTATGTGCCCCTTTGATTTGAAGGCATGGAGATTAAGTTTTTGCTTTTTTAAAATAAAATATTTTCTACCTTTGAATGGAGATTACAGCTTACACTCAACATTCTGCTACTACTGGTTTCATTTGCCACCTTTCTCTTTTTCATTCTAAGTAAAAGAACATGACAGCTGAATCCACTGTAAAGTTTCACGGCCCTGGGAAGTGTGACCCGCTGGTCAGATCTGAAAAAAAACCCATCACGTGCCCCGGAGTGACCGTTATTGTAACGCGATGTATTGTGATGGGAGCTGTGTGTTCATAACTAACCTGTCAATTAGCCGTCCCTGCAAGATGGCAGGTAAAAGGTCAATGCCGTCAATCTGTCTGTCACTTGGGGGCTGCAGTCCCGCCAGGGCGAGGCCGGTGGTGAAGAGATCCATCACATTGCCCAGCTGATGACTTACCTGAAAAATCAACAGACAAGCACTTGCAAAAAGACCTTCAGTTAAAGCCAAAGTGGAGGAGGCTGGTTTCCGTCAAGCAGAAGCATTGCTTTCTTGATCTCCTTCTCTGCTAAGCATCTTTAAGAATATCTCCCTTTATGGTGCTGCAGTCATCAGCAAACCTTAAAAGAAAAAAAAAAAAAAAGAGAGGAAAAGAGAAATCTAGACCCAAATTTCTTCCACGTCCATATTGTTTTCTAGGGAGCATTTGCATTTTGGTTCATTTTCCTCTCTGTCTTCTCACCTCTTTTTATGTCTGCACTTACAAGACCATCTTTTTTCCAGAGTTCAATTTCCTTTTGCAAATTCTGAGTCGTTTGTGGTTTGAAAAATCAGCACTTAAAACAAGCAAAAAGTCTTTGATTCCCTCACCAGGTCATCTCTGGAGTCCAGAATATCCTGAGAGAATTCCCAGAAAGCGCAGGAATAGATGGATAATAACAAAAAGAGCCCGATGACTTCATCGGCAAACCATTTCCAACAATTCAAGAACTGTAAAGTTGTGGTATTTTTAGTTTATATTTTAATAAGGGAGAAAAACATCTGGTTTTGGCTCCAAAAGAGATCTGCAAGTTCTTTTACTTTACTTGGAAGCCATACTTATCTCTCTGGTCTTAATTATTTATATATTAAAAAAAAAAATCTAAAAAGTCTGTTCTGACTAATTTTTTGCTCCCAACATCCTTGTGGTGTGCTACTGTTATCTGCTGTAGAATGTTTAATTAGCCAGTGACACACTAAATTGAAGGAGATATCTTCAAACCAAGAGCAAGAGTATGTTTTGCACTAAGATGCACCAGCACAAGATGTGACATGAAAAGAGCCTTTTCAGCCATACCACTTGTTCTGAGACAAGAAGCCATCTGATACAAAAGCACATCTGTAAAGTACAGAAACACATTTTGACTGAAATTCAAATTCTGCCAGCAGACTTACTAATGTCAGTGGGAACATTATGATGCTGGGACTATCAAAGACTTTTTATCTTTGAATCTTCTTGCTGGTCACAAACAGAGCCCCAGCTTGTGAGCTGATACTAATTATTTAAATACAATTACAAATGATAACATGATAAATGAATCTTTGCAACATGTTGGTTTGCTTGCTCTAGAGGAAAATTAAGGGGGGAAATGCACTTTTTTGCTGGGATACTAAGTCTTTCCATTAGGAGGCTGGGCTGGAAAAAGTGAACATTTAAAGGAAGAATTAATAAGTAAAAAAAAAAAAAAAAAACTGGAAAAAACAACATGTAGGGAACTGATTACAAGTTTAACATTACAATATAGCATCATTTGATTGTAGCAATTTCAATTTTTAATGGCTGTCATTCATCAGAAGGCGTTGGCAGGAACATGTAATATTAAAAGCAGGATGTAAGAATGCTTCCACAACTCGCATGAAGAAATCCAAGTGCAAAGCTCCAAGCAGAAGAGGAAGCCTGACCATGGAAACTCTTGCTCAGGAAAGGAGTTGGATCAGTTGACTGAGATCAATGGGTCTGGCAAAGCCACCCTCCCTCTAAGATGCACACTGCCCTACATCCTGGAGCTGCACCCAGGGGCATCTCCCACTGGCCTGGCAAAAGATGACCACCAGGGAGAACTGTAGCTGGCCAGACCCTCAACAGCCCGCGCTGTGGCAGGCAGTGCTGCGTGCTCCTCAGATGGGCCCCTTACATAGGCTCTGGTTTTGAGCACGCACTTGGAAAGGACTCAGATATAAAAAACAGCGTACACTCATTCAAACAAGCCATCACCTCACTCCTTACAGAGCTGGATGCCTTTGTGAACCGCTGGGGCGGGGAACACCTCGCTCTCACTGAAGTCGAGGGGGACTGCAAGTGCTCAGCATCTCGGCAAAGATGCTCAGCCCCTCGCAGGCTCGTCTGCTGGCTAATTTACGCTGAGCATGTCTGAGGAGCGCTGTGGGGTCAGCAAAACACCATATGCAGAGCTCAGAGTTTAATAAAGAGCAGATCTGGCACACGCCTGCTCCCTGACTCCCGCTACGTCAGGAACAGGCAGACAGACTGGTGTCTGGGACTTTTTGTAATTAGGCCTCTCACAGTTTATAAGGCGAATCCAAAAGTCAGTTTTCTTGTTGTCAGTCCATTCCCTCGCCTCAATATTTTGAGAACAGGCAGCAAGCGGCAGTCGCTGACCTGAGACTCGTGCCTCTAATATCACCTAATTTATACATTGCGTTGTGACAATCCTATGGGGCCACCATGGTCTTCTTTTACTGGCCCTTATTAACCATAACCAGATGTAGATGACTCTCTTTAATCATGCAATTACACTTCTGCTCTCAGACAACATTTTTCCATGAAGCAGAGAAAACTTCTTAAGGAAATTAAATGCCCATGCCACAGCCACTTGGATTTATCTGTTTTCTGCAGCACCACATTGAAGAAGGGGGGGGGGGGAAAGGTTAATATTTATATAAAACTTTGAAGTATTTTCAGAGAAAAATAAAAAAATTACCATTTTCTCCTGTCAACAGTGCTCTTTCATTCTAGTTGCCTTTCCCATTTATTTTATTTTTTTTAAGAAAAGAAAAAGAAAAATCCAGAGAGGGCAACAGCCCAGAGAAAATAAATAATATATAAAAAAGAGTGAGATCAGATATCGCTCGTATCAGTGAGAAACAGCCGGTATTACGCACGTAAGAACGGATTTTTTTTCCCCCCCCTCCTTCCCCCCCTTCTTTTTAATAAACTCTCAGTATACACATAACGTCTTTAAGAAAATGAAATCCTTTTGCTGTGGGCCACGTCGCTAGAAGAAATAGTCACCACTGCTGTTATCAGTGCTTTCAAGCTTTAACTCTGAATCAAAGGCGACAATTAATAAAGTCGCCCCCGCCAGGAATGGAAAGGAGGAAAGCTAAATATTTGAAACTGGGTGAACAAATGTCAGGGTGTTTTTAAATAAAATCCTTTTACAGTTATCACAGCGAGCAGACCTGATATCCCTGTCTAATTCAATTTCAATTTGCGCCCCATGGGAGATAGTGAAGAAAAGGTTGCAGCGCTGTCTTTGGGTTGATATGTTCTTTTCTCCTTCAGGAAGCAGGCACGAGAGAGGAAGGGGAGGAGGGCGAGGGAGGAGAAGAGGAGAAGGATTCAAATACCAACAAAACATGATTCTTTTTTTTCCTGCTGGATCCTTCCAGAAGGCAGACGGGATGTGGGGAATGTTGAAATGCTGATTTGTTATGGATTCACCTGGAAAACACAGCTGAGGAGGAAAGTGCAGAAAGGCTGTTTCTATGTGAATATATATGCCTGATGAGGGACCAGAATTAACTGAATGTTGATGTCAACAGCAACATAGGCTCCTGAGGCACCCTCCTCCCAAACCAAACTGTAAACCAGCTGATTGTACCAATTCACCTAACCTCTATCAATATCCCCCTCAACAGGGTTCACAATCCCGTCACCTAATTTCTTTTGTTTAAATAAAAAGGTGGTTTTTAAAACAAAAACAAAAAAACCCACAAACGCACCCTTCAATAAAAGCAAAAACCTACAGATCAATAAGATTATTAATAAACTGCCAGACCCCATCAGCGGGATGAGCCTTCCAGCCAATGCCTGGATTTCACTGGCCAGAAAGCTGAGGCCAGAGATACAAGTCCTGTCTTTCTGGCAGCAGTTGTGCCAGCTGAAACGGTCACTAGCCCTCTGCCTCCTCTTCAGAGCATCCATGACTGGAGCTTACTGGCTGCACTGATCTCCCGGCCTAGCTGGCTCTCGTCGCTCCCTGACCCATTTCACTCAGAAGGGGCAGGATTAGTTCAAACAGTTTAAATAGAAGGTCTTTGCTAAACCATCTGATTGTAAGTGAAGTGCTAGGGAACAGAGCTAGTTCCCACTCCATCTCTATCATACAGAAATAAAAGTTGCCTTCATCTGCAGCTGTCTGGTTCACGAGACAGCCGATTTGTGAGTCTACACCAGTCTCCCACAGGGCGTTGCTGGAGCTCAGTGGCAGTCTTGGAGCTTCGCAGAGACTCCTGGGAACCACGTTAGCGAGGAGCTACGAGTTTGCCCTTCAGCTTTATATAAGGCCCTCCTGAGAAGCTCTTTGCTTCCACCCTGGTTTAAGGCTCCTAAGCCTTCATCTTCTTCAATTCTTTTGAAAAGAAAGAGCAATGAGAGATTTTGAAGCAGTTTTTCCATATTTTACAGCTAGTCGGACTGAATAGGACTTAGATAGGTTTCAACTCACAATAAAGATGACATTGAAGCTACAGACTTTATAAGATACTGAAAAGAAGCCCAAACCATACTAGAAAATATATGGCTCTTCACTTACTATATCCAGAGAGGCAATTATGAAGTCATAACTACAAGCACCCTATATGCTCACTGTAACGTGAGCTACATTACACAAAAGCAATGCCAAACCTCTCACCTGCGGTCAGTGCTGCTCTGGGTATCAATGCTGGAGCCTCGACGGCAAGAATACAAGCAGAAAAGACATATGAGTAGCTATCACATATTTACTTGTCTGCAGCATCATACATGGGTCTGACTCAGAGCAAAGTAGCACATCCTGGGGACAGAGCTCAGGACAGCCTTCTAAAGATACCTAAGTGGAGTCCACGAGGATATCTGGGAGCAGAACACCTCTGGGAGTCATGTCACCTGCCTCTGCAGACATTCAGCAGACAGCATCACAAATTGGAGCCCAGGAGAGGAAAGATTTAAAGTTATGCACATGCTTAAATGCCGAGCATATCAACGGTGATGCAAGAGGGATCCTCAGCAGCACACCTGCCCAATAAACCTTAGGCACCCACTTCAGCTTGCCGAGCAGGCGTCTCTGTGCATGCACACGCTAGTGACAGTAAGGCACCCAGTCACCTCGCTCACATATGCGGATGCGTTAACTCTGCACAGAAGTGGCTGTTCACAGAAATTCATCCGTGGCCTAAAGCAGGAAGCCATGCATCACATCAGACTGAGAATGTTTTTCACCACATAAAACTTCATCATCTGGTATACGACATGCAAAAGACTATTTGTCAGAGTGGTACCAGCCAGTTATAGCCAAAAAATAAGCAGGCACAAAGATTTCTCTACTCATGTTCCTAATTACCCTTAGAGTTACTACAATGGAAAGAATTTTTAAATTTGGTATTTACTTGTCCCCATTTATAATGCATGTTTACTTTTAGCACATTATTCAGTTTGGACATGGAAAACAAAACAGTCAGCTTCAGTTTCGTGTTCTCATATGCTAGCCCAAGGCTGTTGTACTTGGCTTGTAAAGGCTTTATGGAAATGTTTAAATTTAAACAAAAAGATGTTTTCATTTCCAATTAAAAAAAAATAATAAAATATTCCTAGCAGGTTTTGTGAACTCTTTAAAAATGATGAAACCAAGCTACCCTTGCTGCCTCAACTGCAGACCTAAGCTATCTGATGGCATCCTCTTAAATGTACATGATAAATCATCATTATCCTGACTCAACTAAACCACTGAAAAGGAATGCAACTTGGAAAAATAAATGTTTTATTTATGAACAGTTTGCAGTCTTAAGCGCAGTGCCCAGTTAATGAAATATCACTTTCTTCAGAGATAAGAGAAGTTCACAAAGGGGAGGGAATCTGTATTATTTACTGTGAACCCTGCCTGCAGAAGAATTGATTGCATCTTTCTTTAATGAGAACTGGGACAACACAGGTGGATATTGCCACCTGAGGATTATTCTGAAGTGATCATACCTGAATTTGTGTACACGCAGGAAAGTGCAATATTCTGGTATCTAGACCTCCCTGAGTGGACCTGTTACCAGACACTGAAGCGAGAATTGTGAGGATCACATCACTGGATACTTCAGGGCACAGGCTGTGCGTGGGCTGCATGCTCCTCTTCTAGACTGGGACATATAATAGCAATGTGTCTTTGTACTCCAATTGGTTCAAGTAATTTACCCACTAAAAATACTGTGGCCCAAAAGGGTAAAGGCTTTGAATAGACTAGGAAGACAAAAAGACCAGATTGCTCGGAGTTCACAAAAGTGTTGATTATAGACACTCTAGGTGCAGATTTGCAACAATGAACAGGAACGGCATCATTCGGTAAGGGCAGCATTCGGCTCCTTATTTAGATAGGCGTCTGGACTGACAGGTGGCACATGTTAGAAATCTGATCCAAAGTCCACTGAATCCAACAAATATCATTCCATCCAATTCACTCTGCTTAAGACTGACCAGAAATTGTTAAAAGCATATACTCACCCCTCCTGCAGGTATATGCCCAGGCCACCAAGCAATAGCTGGCTCTCTCATGCCACCTTCAAAGGTGGTTTGTTTACCACACAGAAAACGACCATTGCTTCCACCTAGAGAAAGAAGAGAAGCCACAGAACTTATGACATGTCAATATACTATTTCAAAAGACACTGTCAGCTAAGAAATTTTTAGAATAACTTTAACTGGATTTTAATTTCTGCATGAATCCTTCTTCAAGTAACATGTCCAGAGTTTTGTAGGTATCTCCTTATGATCAAATTTTAGGAGTGCCTTTTTAGCACAGGGAGAAACTGACTGTTAAACACAACTTGCTATTAACAGAATAAAGAAAGAAAAGAAAAACAGAAAAGACTTTGCTGGCATTTTCTTTCTCTTTAGGTGTATTAACTGTTGCTTGTAACGGAAGGAAAGCTGACACTTTCTGACAGAAGTAGCTTTTTTTTGATAACCCTTTTAAAGTACTAGAGGAGTATTAGATACAGATATTCAAAAAAGAAAAATAACTCCACAGTCCCTGAATGTTCACTCTCAGTCATAACAAGTGATTTGCAGGAATGTCCTGCATTTTTAATTCAGCCTCACAGCTGAGCTTACTGAAAAACAAACAGGGAGGCCCCACAACTGATTCCGGGTCACATAAAGGCAAACATAGAGGCTCAGCTGAAATGAGAACTCAGGATACTCTGGGATTTGTGGTCCAAAAACCACTAGACAGTCTGCCTCCAAACAGAAAAGAGTTGGTTATAAAAATCAATCTGCAATGACTCCATTTGAGAGAAACAATCATTTAAACAAAAGAAAACCTGTGAAGTAATGCAAATACTTTTTCTCCTTGATATTTTTCATGAGAGCTAAAAAAAGAGGGACTCTTGAACCCTTCCTAATTACTCAGAAAGCTCAAATGCACACTTGGCAGATGGAGAGAGTAAAAACACTGCTAAGTTACTATGCCTGGACCTAAATAAATTAAAAATATTCACCCATTGACAGTGGAGCACAAAGTGGAAATGCAAGCAGATGAACAGCCATACTGGGTTAAGCCAAAGGTCTATTTAGCGAAGGATACCTTCTCCAACAGTGAGCTAACTCTAAAATGGAACGCGTTGAACTTTGAGGCTTCTCTTAAATGCAGGATGGACAAAGGGAAAATCCCAGATGCAGGTCTCTTTTTTTTCTTCCCCTCAGACATGGAGATTGACATTTTGACTTCAGTGGCCCAGTCCAAGTTTGTTCATCTGAGACTCACCTTGTTTAGGAGCCGAAATGAGAGCAGCTCCATTATCAGAGGTGAAAAACACAAAAGTGTTCTCACTGATACCCAGCTTCTGAAGATGTTTTAAAATTTTTCCTATGCTATCATCAATTTCTCGCACAGCATCGCCATACCTGAGGCAGAAGTAGATACAAAACATTAAGGCAGCAGAAGAGGAACAGCCCCATGTAGCACAACGCACTGCAACGAGCCACGATGTTTTTAGCGGACACCATTTTTACCTGTACTGCAGAGAGAAATACTTCTCTTACGCATCAGGTACTGTATAATAAAGTTTTCCAATGTCACTGCAAAAACTCATGTCTCTTATCTGCAAAGAGCAATTTCTCTTGGAGATTAAGACTCAGAGTTTGTTCAGAGCTGAGCTGCTCTTGGACAGAGACCAGCAGCTGAGATAAATTTAACTACAACGTTCTCAAATATAGGCAAAGCCACTTCACCATAGGCTTGAAGCTAATTTTGCTTATAGACACCAGTTCGAAACTGCAGTCTCAGAAGCAAGGCTCACCAAACCTGCACAGCTACTCCGTTGCCTCCTGTAAGCTGCATTTTTCATGCATGCTTTTCTGCTTGTTGTTCTGATTTATGTTCTTTTAAAACAGGCACTAATCATACAAAAGCCTTCCAAAAACCATCTCTGCCACATTCAGCACTTCATTACTCACACAACGGGCAAAGGCGCTTAGACGCCATCCCTCTCCCCACCGCCCCCCATTTTAGTCACACTATCTTCATTTTAGGTTATAGCAAAAGTATTACAGAGCAATCCAAGCAAGGTTCTCACTAATATATGGTCGTGTATTTCAGCACACACAAACACTTTTGAGAAATGATCTACATACTTGGATCTAATAATCATTGCTTTGTTTTTCTGTTTCTACAGCATGAGGTATTAATTAAAAAAAAAAAAAGACCACAGACTTACAGTCCTCTCTGACTAGTACCCAGGAAATGTTTGGAGGCATAAACAGGAGCGTGGGTAGCATCAATTGCCCAGTATAAAAAGAATGGCTGTTGGCTGGCCTGCTGCCTGCTAATAAAATCGAGAGCTTCCTGTAAACAACAATAAAAATTAATTTAACAGAATCATCCTCTGCCCTCTAAGTCTCTCCACGAAAAGGAGCAAAAAGTCACTGTGGGTTAAAAATCAGTATTAAAAAAGACAGTACCTGCAGGTAGATCTGAGTCAAGTTGGCTTCACCTGTCTTCAGATCAATTTTGAAATCTTCATAATATCTTAAGATAAAATGAATCAGACAGAAAAAAGAAATTCAATCTTGAGGAATGTACAGCACAAAAAGGCTTTTCGTCCCCCTTACTTACACAAGCAGATCACTGTTACTACTCAGCAAAAGGGCAGAATCATAACTTAAGTAACAAGCCAATTCTCTTTAGATACTGAAAAGAATGTCACTCTTTTTTTTTTCTTATGGGAGAAAGCAGTGAAATGAGTAGATCCAAATTAATGATGGCTACAATATTTGGACAAATCTGAGCCACCAGTTTTTCACTGCGAACAGACTAGTATGCAAAACTAACTGAATACTGATACCAATACAGGTAGCAATCTAAAAACTGGATTTAATCTCATGCTATTAGAATACGGGCAGTACGCTTAAAAATCATATGATGCTACTTCTTGAATATAGAGCTGTTTGATACATGAGTAAAATTTTCAGAAGTACATAAATAATCTCTGTGAGATAATGCAATCTTGGAATCAGAACCTGGGCTGCTTTGAAAATGCTCAAAAAGCTGAGGTATCTTGAGACACCAATTAAGCAAAGAATGGAGGGGGAGGGATGTCCTCAGGAGACTAATAGGAAGTGAAATAAGATGATAACAGGCTCAGAACTGAACGGGCAAGAATCGTACAGACTACAAACTTGGAGTATAGAATGGTGCTACACAAACAGACAAAAGATGATTACAAACAGGAAGAGAAGGAAAAAAAGAGGTCTTTCAGCAGGGAATGGAACTAGCTTCCAAGAGCAGTAGTGGACTGAAATCATCACAGGAAGTCTTTAAGGCACAACAGAGTAAGCAATCATCTCCAGGAGGCAGCCTAGAGCAGCCACGACCCCTCAGCGGTCCACAGGCAACTTGCAGGTTGGCCTTGGCACTCAGACCTTGATTAATCATCAGAAGCAAATATCTAGCTTCATATTTAGCTGGCCTTTTAATCAGTCATGTCTGGCACACCATCCCCTGCTGAAGTGTTCTCTAGCGCATAAGGGGATCTTGGACTCTCCTAAATCCCTTTGATGTGCTGGGATTTGAAGCCTCTAATACTGCACTGCATACCAGGGTAGTCAAAAATTCAGAGGTGCTACACTGGAATCCAGTACTAAAGCAGCTGGATTTTAAATTTAATGATAAGGTGGGGATGAGAAGATAGAATTCCTGCAAAAAGGAGTTTAGGAGCTCAGAATAAAAGTTTAGCAGTCATCTAACATGCCAAAACTCTTGAGGGGCTTTAAAAACATGATCAATATTGTAAAAGTAGGTCTTTGTTATCTCAGCTTTGAGTGAAAAAGTCAGAGCCACAACCACAACTGAAAAGCAGTGGGCACTGCCCAGGCAACACTGCTCCAATACCCTTTGCTGCTAGCACTGCCTTCATAACCTCTTCTTTACCCAGTTAGGATTATCCTTGCCTCTTCTCCAGCTGTTAAATTCACATATCTTTTGATGGTTAATCTGTACTCTCTTGTCTCCTTCTGCCTTGTGCATTTTCCCACAAGGCCTTCCCTTCACTCTGTCTCAGCTCCAAAAAACCCCCACCATCTAGGCTGTCTAAGGCTGGGTATTGGCCATTCCTGGACTAGAGAGAAAGTCCTGTTCAAAGGTAGGAGGACAAAGCAAGAAGTGAACTACTTGACACATGATGCTGTGGAGAGCAGAAATACGGACAGGTTTAGAAAAAGAGACAAGACTAATTCATAGAGGACGAGTCAATGGCTATTAAACACAAAGACCTGGACACAACCTTCAGTTTATGAAGGAGGACAAGTATATCAAGGGAAGGACCATTCCACCTGTCCATTTCTTATACCCACTCTATAAGCATCCACAACAGATTGTGATTGAGGAGCACAACAGACCTTACCCAGAAGGGCCGTCTGTGTGTTCCAGGAACTTTTTCAAGTTTTTTCAACTTTTACAATGCCCTTTTACAGGGCATTCTGTAGTGGACATTTCCGACCATATCTCAGGCAGGATATTCCTCGTGCCTGACATGTTATAAAAGTCCTCTGTATAGGCTGAAGTCATTGCAGATCACTACCCATCCGACTAAGCTTGCAACTCCGATTCAGAAGCAGCTTCTGTTTTTGCCAACCCTTTCTCACCGGAATGGTTTGTTATGGTAGCACTTGTCTTCTACCACACTAACGTGAGCAGCGAAAGCAAGGAAAATAAAGCGTCAGCAACTGGGTAATGTTTTTGAAAGGAACTGGCAGGCAAGTGGCTGAATTACCTGCCAATCATCTCCCAGTCCCTATACACAGGGATATTGGGGAGTGCTCTGTTATCATAAGGTCCAAAATGGCAGTTAGGGGATCCAAACCATTCATCAAACCCATGCTTCAGGGGGTGGAATTGGGGCCTGTGACCCAGATGCCTAGGAACAAAAGACATAGATAAATTCACGTTCTACTGCATAGAAGCAAATAATAATCTCATCAGAATGGCACGCAAGAAAAAAAATCTTTGCCTAGGAAGAAAAACTTCAAGTATTTTAATCAAATAAATAGCTGCAGACCAATGTCTTGAGCTTTCTTATATTGTTGTCGTAAACAGATCCATGCAGACTCACTTCACAGCTTACATATATATCCTTTTTAGCCTGCTGTCCACTCTTTGTTTTCCATTATTTCCTTCTACGGGAGTCTTTCATGCCGTCTCAGTAATCTGTACTGATGGCCTACCCTGCCCAAAGCTGTTGCAAAGAGGCATATAACATTCCCCTTAAGGATTCTGATCTATGACAAGTCACTTTTATACCTCTAAGCTGTAAAAACACACTGCAAAGCTCATGAAATGTACCATTATATTTGCATTCATTTTATGGAGTTTTCATGCTGCCAAAATGGTACAAGGGGACATGAATGTAAATGAGAATGAGTTCTTTATACGTACATGTGAACGTAAAATATGTTTAGCTACTCCTGATGACAGCTCCATTCCAGTATACAGATTAAAAGACTTTCCATCTTCAACTTCAAGATGGAGCTCCTTTCTAATCTCCAGCTTCTGGATTGCAAATTCTCCACTTCCTTCATTTATACTATCTCGAAGGTAAAGGATGCCCATCCTCTCCCTGTCTCTGCAGGAGATCTTTGTAGCTAAACGTCTATTTATCATTCCAGGATCTATTCACAAGCCTACATCTGCAACCTGCGCATTTTGTGCCATCTCCTTCTGCACGCTTTCTGAACATAAGGAGCATAAAATGCATTACCTGAACTAAAATGATCCATGGTGTCATTCTGAGCTTTTCCAAAATGAGTTATAACAGAAGATAACCATCATTCCAGCTACGATCACATCTTGGTGATGTAACTAAAATTGCACGTCTCATGTGCGGGACTCTCCCCTTTTCTCATTTATCTACATGGTAATACAAAGCTATACCTGCCTGTTTCCACAATAATAGGGGACATGAAAAATTATTTAATTCTAAGAAAGCGCTAAGAGAATTAAAAAAGGAGAAGAAGAGACACGAAAAAGCTATCAGATAATTATTGAAAGGCAGAAGGCAGATTGTTCTCTCCCTCTCGCAATATAAAAATAGAAGAGTATTTAACGAAATGCAGCACATTCCAAAATAGCCATAGATACTTGCCTTGCACATCACATAGTTAAACTGTGGAACTCACTGTCACAGGACACCATGAAAAGTCTTTGAAAAGGGACACTAAAACGACATAAAATCTTCAAAAACCCTAACATTCTAAGAGGGGCTAGGATGAGACTCCAGTTTATGCGCTCTGCATTTTCTTACACCTTTCTAGGAAATAGGCGATATCGACAAAAGCCAGAGATCACGACTGTACAATATCGTTCCCCGTCCTGTCCAGCACAACACCTCTTGGGTGCCCAATGATAATGCATTGTACATTCGTATTTGGTCTGCTTCTTGCTAACAGCTGCAGGTCCTTCCAGATTTGCTGTTTTCCAAATAACTGTCTGGAACCAATCTGTATTTGCGTTGTTTATTTCTTTTCCCTGGGTGTATGAATTTACATTTATTAGCACTGAACTGCAACTTATTGCATTCAGCCCACTGATCCAATTCTTCATGGCCACTCTGCTGTTTGGATTTGTGGCAATAAATAATTGACTGTCTTAGGTTAGTTTGCTTTCTTTCCAATTTCAGCAGCACTGGTGAATTCAACCACAATTCAATCACACTTTTCTCTAACTTGTTAATGAAACTGTTAAACAAAATGTATTTCATTACCTTCCTAAAGAGTATCCCCCTTGGTACTACTCCTGTCTGATGTCTTTTCATTATCAATTACTCTGTTAACCAAGCAGTACTTGTCTGCAGTTTTGAAGTTCTTATTTATGTATTTATTTATTATAGCACTATCCCAAACTGTGCATTAACTGATCAGAGATCTCCAAACCTAACGGGATTTTCATTACAGCCTAGAAGCTCATTTGAAATTTGAATGTTATACACACACCAGTTTCACCTATTGCACTGGTAATGCCACCAACTGCGCTTGTTGGCCCAAGTGCCTTTCAGGTTTTTCCCTTCCTGTCTTCACAGGCATTGCTGAACATTGTTGTTTCAGAAGTTCTTCTGCATCCTCTGCAAAGATTCTGCTGTACTCCCACGAAAGTCAATGAAGCCAAAGGAGAAAATTCCAAAGAGTATATTCTTGTCAAGTCTGTCTCCATCTGCTCTGACCTCTATGCTAGGTGAACGGTTATCAATGTAGCTCTAATATCAATCCAATTGCCTTCACGATTCTGCACCTCTATTTCTATGCCAACACACCTCTATCCCAAAAGAGAAACTTGCACAATGTAGTCTACTCTATCAACACAAGAGCAATATATAGCAGAGGCCAAAGATAAAAAGCATGTAGGTGCTGAAGGCAAGTTCAAACAGAACACCTTAGCATTTTTTTTTTATTAAATTAAGTAGCGTGGTACATGAATAAAAGCCTAAGGAGTTGAAGGGTTTATATATACATGAATTATAGTATGTGTTTATAATGATAACACTCAGTTCTGAAATTAATGACAACAGGGGAGGAGATCTACCACAGATTTCGAAAGACAGACATCTGATCTTCCAGACATTTTTTCCTCCCCACTCCAGTTGTCCTTCTTCACAATACGCAGACTTGCAAACTGAAGTCTTAAAGCAAAGATCTTAAAACAAGCTTACCATTTGCCAATGATCTTATTGATGTATCCTGCTTTCTTCAGCAGCTCTGGAAGCAGTAACTCAGAATCTGGGATTCCTCCTACTATATCCTGTGGTGTGTATGCTGCATAAAACAAAAATATTCTTTCTGACTCTTACAAATATTAGGACAAACAGCTAATGGCTACCCATCATTAGAAGGATTATTTAAGCAGATCAGAAACAGCAACTAGTTTGATGTTCCAGCAATATCACTGTTTGGGAATCTAACTCCCCAAGGCCAAGAAATAAAGAGAACAAGTTGATTCAGCAAATACATGTCTGAACCCAAGGGAGACCTCCACCCACTTCCACACCACGGCCAACAAACAAAAGGGGCTGCTGGCACAGCATGAAGGTGAAGGCCTTGAAAGGGAGGTCATAAAGAAAACAAGCGCTTTAGGAGCGCACTAGAGTTGTTTGGCTTTTAGTCCTGCAAATTTGCTTGATATTTTCTAAAACAAAGGCATTTTCCTAAATCAAATGATTGATGAACATGACCAGGCTGCAGGAGCTGAAAGAAATGGAACCACTCACTCATTCAGCATTTCTCTGGCCCTTGAGAATCTAAGATGTGACTTTGGTTAGCAAGGAGATAGCCAAGTATGCTTGCTGACACACAGTGTGAATTAATACGTAGCTGCCAATTCTTGCCCAAGCATGTATGGCCTCACATGGTGCCTGTCATTCTGGAACCAGTCACAGGAACTAAAATGAACACAGGCACATTATGAGTTGATCCTCTTCCTTGGAAGCACCATGGACATGATGGTACTACACAACTGCCCTGGCTAACCTAGTTAGGAAACTGACTGCTGAATAAACCTGTATGCAGCTTGTACCTAGCATAAGATGTTAATGGCATACCCCACGTGACTTTTTTTCACCAGAGATCAGCTAGTCGACCCAGAGAAACCACATCTCAGCCAACAGAGCAAATGGATCAACCAACCCTGCTTATGTCTCTTCATTTGAGGAGGTTTTCTACCTTTAGCGTGATGAGGGGGGAACGATACGTTTCACACTTATTACCAGCAGTTAACATGGTAACACATCTTCTTGTGCCACTCTGGAGGATCCATAAAGGGAGATCACTGACCCAAGCCTTTGTTCAAAGCAAAACTTCCTACAAAACACCAAGTAATGAGAAGAGAGAAGGCAAATCTGTAATAAAGCTCATACCGTTTCTGGCATGTGCATTTGTGGTGTAAAAGCCATTCCTGATTGGGAGACGGCCCGTCAACAGTGCTGCCCTTGCTGGAAATAACAACAAAGAATATTTCACTCTACAAGCACACTCTGCTTAATATTATGGCATTGAGGCTGAGGACAGTGCACTGAACGACTGATCACTCACATGAGAACAGGTAAAATCCCTTCCCGAAAGAGCCATGGAGATGACCAGGTTCTGATACGACACCATCAGAGTTATTCCAAGGCAAACCGGATTGGAATTTAGCCCTTCTATTAAACTAGTTCACCCGCTGCTGAAAAGTAACTACTTCCAATAGGAAATGTAGCAGCCATTCTGTATCAGTAACCATAAATGGAATACCTAGCATATACATTTAAGAAGAAATCATAACACAAGTTGATTACAGGCTAAGGGTAGCTTGCCTGAACAAAAGTCACGTAAAAAAGAACAAAAAGAAGCTGTCCATCCTTGATGATAAAAATCAGGGCCTGACTGCAGGAAGCATTTAAGCAGATGCTTAATTTTAAGCACATGCTTAAGTACCACTGGAGTTAGCAGGACTTTAGCATATTTTAAATGCTTTTTCCGAGGAAGGACAGTCATTAGCACACTGACAAATGATTTCCTAAATGAAAGCCCCAAAAGAAAGGCCTCCTTTCTCATTTTTGTTTTGGTACTTGGTTGCCAATTGGGTTGGAAAAAGAAAAGAAAAAAAACCAGAAAAAGCAGTAAGGCTAAAAAATAATCAGTATCTCCCAGAGTCAGATGCTTTTTTTTAATCTCTTGTCTCTTCCCCAAGAATCTCGCAAGTCACCAGGGTCAACAATAGGACACAACCTGCTGTCATTCCTTGTGTGAAAGTCTCACCAAAGCCAAGGGAATCAAACAAATTATGTATTTTTTGTTCAACAGCAATTTAGGTTCTGTTTTGTCTGTTAACCCTGAAATAGCAATGAAGAAAACATGCAGTGACAGAGGCTGGAATGCTAAAATGGAATATTTTAAAAAAATCCTTCAGCTGGACTGATCCGAGGACTAAAACATTGCTTTGTATGACCTGAAGATTGTAGGTTTTCCCCTCAAAAAAATAAATAAAAGGAAGCAACATAGAAGATCAAAGCATCAAATCCAAACTCTGCCCTGAGGGTAATCACTAGTTTGGTTGCTAGTTCATATCACATGCTGGCAAACATCCCGATCTTCTCAGAAGGTGGCATTCTTATATGCTGGTTTAAAACTCAAGTCTACTTACATGGAGAGCAGAGGGGGCTAGCAGTATAAAAATCCAGGAAAAGCATCCCTTCTGAAGCCATCTGGTCCAAGTTAGGAGTTTCCTTAGAAGGCTCTCCAAAAACTCCCAAATCACCCCAACCCATCTGCAAAAGGAACACACCAAAAGATGTAGAAGTACTTTTACCTTTCGACAAATGACAATGCTTCTGGGCCCACATAACATTTTTATTTCATCCCTTCATTTCTAAATCTTTATCGCGCTCATCTCTCTACTCGGGGAGTACTTCAAAAATGTGATAAAAATTATCTTCCCAAACCCTGTGAAGCAGGGAACTATTCAATTTTTCACTAGCAGATGGGAAACTGAGGCACATATGAGAGTAAATGACTTGCTAATGGACATAGAAACATTTGTAGCAGCACTGGCTAAGAATCATCTTCACTCCTGCTGCAGTGTCTGAAGACTGACCACTGCACAGGTACCAGGCAGGCAAAGGAAGTTACACATGCTACGCTCAATACTGCGCAAACAAACCATTCAGTCCCTGGCTACATCTGCCTTTTGTGTCGGACCACTGACCTCAGTCACCTGCATCTATCTATCTATCCACTTATGTATATATAATTAGTAATGCAAGGGAAAGGTCTAAATTCAAAGGCAGTGCTGCAGGAAAAGAAAGCGCATATTTTAAAAGTAAGCTCTTGAGAAAAATCTGCCAGAGGCATCATATACCACTGCTTATTTGCAAGACAACGATTTCACCCTGTTTCTTCCCCTCGTTCAATGGGGTCACACAAGTCCTGACCAGGAGAACTGGAAAACTGCCATCATGTTGTCTAAATTAATCGCTGAAAACTACTATGGTAATAACACAACTAAAAGTAAGTGACTTAAAACAGAAGGTTCTAGAAGAGAACAACTTAATGAGCAATTAGGCACCATGGTTGCTAGAGATTATATTGTGCTTTTAAAAAGGCAATAGCTTTCTTTAATACAGATGTGTATCAGGTAAGCAACTGGTATGGAGGGCATAATGTATCTAGAGCTTTAGAAAACCATCTGTCTGGCCCCATTTGAGAGTCTAACATTAACAGCACAGTGGTGCAGTTTGGAAAAGAAATTGTTGGAGAGCTGCAGAGCTGGCTGTCGAAGTCTGAGTGAAGAAGCAATTAAGTGGTGTCACATACCACTAGGATGCAGAATTAAAAAGGATTCAATGGGGTCACCTCTGAGTTCTCAGTTCTTCAATATCTTTATCATCAAGAAAGAAAGAAAGGAAGGAGACTGTGTTGCTCTAATTCACACACAGCGAAGGAGTCACAGAAATTACAGAAGGATCAAAGGAAAAAGACCATGGAAATGTATTTTTAATGAATAGTATATAAATAAATAAATAGTTCATAGAGGCTCCAGTCAGGATCTGTGCCTCATCATGTCTTGTGTTGTACTAATGCTTCCAGAATGGGCTAATCACTGTCCCAAGGAGCTTTCATCTTGGAAATTACAAATGCTGGCTTGGGGGGAAATATTCTTGAACGGGAAATTCAGATGGACTCCTGGAGGCTCAACTGGCCAGAAAAACCAGGCTTACAAGGTAATTATCTTGTACAAGAGTGTGGAAAAACTATGAAAACAACAGCGAGATAGTCCTGTTGAATTGTCAGAAGGAAGCCAAACAGGCGATAAGAGCTTGCACACCCTTCTAGTCACATACCCACCCTCATTAGTTTTTCACGTAGCTTAAAATGGCACACAATGCATTTCTATTACAAACATACCTAAAAGATGACAAGAAAATATTAGAAATGAAGCAAAGCAGAAAGATGGCACCAGCTTAAATACTATGTTGGAAACACACACGTTTCCTTACCTGTGTGGCTAACAGCACCAAAGAGTGGAAAAGCGAATGAGTTTTTAGTTGGAAAGAAACCTGTAGTTATTTTTGCTCTTCAATGCATTTTTTTCAATTCAGAAAATAAAAATTAATGGAGTTAATTTGCTTTTTGTTTAGTTCTTAATGAGGCAAGTCTGGGTTTCTTAGAACATTTTCTGAAATGTATTGGAGTTTCTTTGTCTACACTTGTAGTTGCACCATGTTGAGTGCTGCTACAACTACCTCCAGCGCTGGTATTAGAAGATATTGCCACAGTTATTTTTGTAAGCTACATAACCAAACCTTAAGCTTAGAGTGACTCTGTAAAGGTTTAAAAAAGCTAAACACCCCCCTGCCCAACACTGTTACCAGTTAGTGAGTGGAATCCTTTGCCAAGGACAGGGGAACTAATTGCTCAATCGTTATGAATGGACCAGTAGATAAGATGCTTAGACTTCTAGATAAGGTATGTAGGCTTTTAAGTACTGATTCCAAAAGACTTACACATAGGCTTGACTTCATAGATCTGGAAAGTCTCTTTTTTTTTTTTTTTTGGCAGGATATCCATGAACAAGGAATAAAAAGAGATTTGCTTTAATGCTGCAATGCCTCCAGCGTGTGTCACCTAGGGCAGCTCTGCACTAAAGGAGGAGCAGGAAACAGAATACGCTGGAACTGGGCCTTCCTTTTTGATTCACTGCTTTTTGCAGAAAATTGGGAAAGGACTTGAGAAAGAAAGTGACTGACAATGTCAGTTTTCAGAGTATGTCTGAAAGAGCCCAAGCTTATTAAAATATCCCTGTAGCACGCTGGTGAATCTGGAGGCCACGTCACCTCGAAGGGATCACACATGAATCCAGAAGCCAGGCCACCTAGAAGGGATCGTACGTGAACCCAGAAACCATGCCACCTAAAGAGGTTTGTACGAAAATCCAGAAATCACACCACCTAGAAGGGATCGTACTCATCAGGGAGAGCACCGCTCGGCAAGAGCGAACGGCACAGCGCTGTGGGGAGCACAGGGAGGCAAGTAAACGTGCAAGACACTGAAATTATGAGTCTTGACAGGCCTGTCAGTGACCCTTGATGTGGCCTTAGGGGGATGCGCAGAAAAAGTAATTTGCAGAAGGCTCACGGAGAGCCAGTCTGATGAAACCCCTCCTTGAAAACCTCTGCTTTAGCACCAGTACGGGCTCTGGCCCAGCACATGCGTCAAGGATCCTGCGAGCTCAGGGGCGACGGTCACAGCATCTCTGATTTCATGTGCACCGCCAGACCCCACGGGAGGCGCAGGGCCACCACAGGAGCCGCGCTGACGGCCTGGGGGCAGCCACCACCCCAAACCTCCTCATCCCCCACCCTGCTAGCCACTCCCCAGTGTCCCCTCCCCCTACAGGGTGATTTCCCCCCAGGGAAGTCTCTCCTGTCCCCAGGCACCCCCTACAAGTTTCCTCTCCCCCACGAGGGCCTCCACCTCATGACAAGTGTGCTTCCAAAGGGACACCTTCTGGTGACCCTCCAGTGACAATATCCCTAGCCTTCCCCCAAAGGACCTCACCTGGTGACAACTGTCCCAAGGGGACACTCCTCAGTGACAAGTGTCCTCCCCAAGGGGTCACCCTTCTGGGGACAAGTATCCCCTGCCCAAGGGGACACTCCTCAGTGACAAGTGTCCTCCCCAAGGGGTCACCCTTCTGGGGACAAGTGTCCCTGCCCAAGGGGACACTCCTCAGTGACAAGTGTCCTCCCCAAGGGGTCACCCTTCTGGGGACAAGTGTCCCTGCCCAAGGGGACACTCCTCAGTGACAAGTGTCCTCCCCAAGGGGTCACCCTTCTGGGGACAAGTGTCCCTGCCCAAGGGGACACTCCTCAGTGACAAGTGTCCTCCCCAAGGGGTCACCCTTCTGGGGACAAGTGTCCCCTGCCCCCCAGGCGGTGCTCCCCCAGTGACAGTACCCCCCCCCAAAGGATCCTGCCTGGTGACAAGTGTCCCCTGCCCACGGGGACGCTCCTCTGTGACATGTCCCCTGCCCCGCAAGGCCTCCTCCCCAGTGACAACAGTGACCGGCGTCCCCTTAAGGACCGCCCCCCCCCCGTCACGGGTGT